TTATATATATATATATATATATATATATATATATTATGAGTATTTTATCCAAAAATTTATGGAAAAAATCTTTCGGGTCAATTTTTGCAAATTTTTAGCTGAAATCGTGTACTAACCACCATCACGGTTTTCGGCTAAAAATGCATTCTGGGGCCCGACTCAGTTATTTATGATTTTTGGTGCCAAGACTCCTTGAAAAATCTATATTCATCTAATCAAATCTCAGCCACATTGAATTTAATGATTTGTTTTTACGAGCATCTGAATCTTGTTTCGATTTAATTAGAAATTAATTCAGAAAAATATGAAAAACGATATTAAAAGCGTGAAAAAGGATTTCAATTTTTTGTTATTGAATTATATATTTTTCATGAGTATTTTCGCTAGAAATCAAGGAAAAATCTTTCGAGTCAATTTTTGCAAATTTTTAGCCGAAATCATGTACTAACCATCACGGTTTTCGGCTAAAACCGCATTCCGGGGTTCGACTCAGTTTTTCATGATTTTGGTGCCAAGACTACTTGAAATAGCTATATTCATCTAACTGAATCTCAGCCACATTGGATTTAAGGATTTGTTTTTACGAGCATCTGAATCGTGTTTCGATTTAATTAGAAATTAATTTAAAAAACAGGAAAAACAATATTAGAAGCGTTAAAATCCATTCAATATTTTTGATGTTGAATTATATATTTTCTATGAGGATTTTAACCAAAAATTGAGGAAATATCTTTCGGATCAATTTTTGCAAAAATTTTAGCCGAAATCGTGTACTAACCATTACGGTTTTTGGCTAGAAACGCGTTCCGGGGCCACGGCTCTGTTTTGCATGATTCTTGGCGCCGAGACTTCTTGAAATATCTTTATTCATCTAATCAAATCTCAGGCACATTAGATTTAAGGATTTGTTTTTATGTGAATTTGAATCTTGTTTCGAATGCTCGGGTAGTGGAGTTGTGGGATCACAGGAGGCTGGTTTTATTAAGTGCTCGAGAGAGAATGAAATGGTGATGTCTGCTGCTGACGATTTCATCCCCTTGAAGGTGCATGAGAGTTGTGGCAGGGAGGGTACTATCAACAATAGCGAAACGGCGGAGATGGCTAAGGAAGCCAATCTCTGCCGACATCGATGAGTTGCATCGTTTGGAACTGCCGGGGTTTGGGGGCTACCCGGTCAGTTCGTGTATTAGCAGACCTAGTGAAAAGTAAGCAGCCTCTTTTTTTATTTCTTTCAGAGTTTAAGCGGAGATGTAATGAAATGGAGAGGATTCGTGTTTTGTTAGGCTTTAGTTTTTGTTTTTCTGTTGATTGTATTGGCCGCACTGGCAACTTGTCTCTCCTATGGAATAATTCAATAAATGTTACTCTGCTTTCTTACTCCTTGAGTCACATTGATTGTATTATTAATGAACATTCTCATAATGCATGGCAGTTTACGGGGTTTTATGGGAAGCCAGAGACTTCCTACCGTAATGAATCTTGGCAACTTTTGAGTACTCTTCGAGGCCAATCGAGTCTTCCATGGATGTGTGCAGGGGATTTTAATGAGTTGCTATCTAATGATGAGAAAATTGGAGGTGTCTAAGACCTCAATATTTAATGGATGCATTTCGGAATGTAGTTATGGAATGTGGTTTCCAAAATTTACCAATACAGGGTCCGAGAATGACTTGGAAGCATAGAATAAATGACCAAATGGTTTTTGAAAGACTTGATCGATGTCTAGTGACAAATGATTGGCTGACAAAGTTTGGAGCTAGCTATGAAGAGCATATTCCTACAACTGTTTCTGATCATTTATTTTTGTATGTAAGAGTAAGTGATCATCAGGAGCTGCGATATGGTAGGCAATTGAGCTTTCGTTTTGAGAATATGTGGTGTTCACATGCTGGAATTGAGGAGGTGATTCGAAGTGCTTGGGAGGATCTGGGTGGGGTGGATGTTGTAAGTAAAATTCATCAATGTGGGGAGAAGCTGAAGCAGTGGGATAGAAATGTGTTTGGGAATGTGAAATACAAAATTGGTTGGATGAAACGTGAGTATGATAGAAGGTATAATGAGGCGCAGTTAGGTGGTCTAACGAAGGGACTACAACAGTGTCAAGATGAGCTCAATGAACTTTATAAGCAAGAAGAATTGATGTGGCGGCAGAAATCTAAAGCTACTTGGCTTCGGGATGGGGATCGGAATACAACCTATTTCCATTCGGTAGCTTCGGCCAGGCGGAATCGAAATTTGATTGCAGGGATTAAGGATGTTGATGGGAATTGGCAGACGGATATGCAGGTGATTGAAAGGGAGATTATGGATTATTTCCAAACCATATTTGCTTCTTTGAATCCAATTACAAGTAATATTAGATTGGTTACAACGAAAGTGGCGGATCATCTGTCGGCGGACATGAAAAGACATTTGGAAGAGGAATTCACACCTGAGGAGGTTCGGTAGGCTGTGGTTGATATGGAGCCGAGTAAATCCCTGGTCCCGATGGAATGACGCCTATGTTCTTCCAGAGGTTTTGGGGCATTGTTGGCGCTGATGTTACGAATATGGCACTTTCGTTTCTAAATCAAGGTACTCCTTTGCCTAATTTTAATAATACTAATATAGTGTTAGTACCAAAAGTTGATTCTCCAACTATTGTCAAAGATTTTAGACCCATTAGCTTATGTAATGTGGTTTTCAAGATAATTTCAAAGATTTTAGCAAATAGATTGAAAGTCATTTTGCCAGCAATTATAGGAGAAAATCAAAGTGCTTTTGTACCTGAGCGTATGATTTTTGATAATGCTTTTATTGCTTTTGAGACTATTCATTTTGTGAGAAATAAAAGGTCTGGGAGAAAAAAGCACATGGCCTTAAAGCTTGATCTTAGTAAGGCCTATGATAGGGTAGAGTGGTCTTTTCTTGAGGATATTATGTGTAGTATGGGGTTTCCGAGTCGATGGGTAGCTCTAGTCATGACGTGTGTGCGTACAGTGAGTTATTCGGTGTTGATTAATGGGCAACAAAGTCGTAAGTTTTTGCCCTCAAGAGGTATTCGTCAAGGCGATCCCCTATCACCATACTTATTCTTGTTATGTATGGAGGGCTTTTCAGCTTTGCTTAATGATGCAGTTACAAACGGCTCCATTGAGGGAATTGCAATAAATCGTTATGCTCCCCAAGTGTCACACCTGTTTTTTGCGGACGATAGCTTGCTTTTTTTTGCGAGCAAGACTTTTGGAATGTGACGCTGTTATTGAAGTGCTATAGAATTTTGAGAAAGCTTCGGGTCAGCAGATAAACATAGATAAGTCAGCTATTATGTTTAGTTACAACACTACTTCTGGCTTACGGGATAGTATTATGCAGAGGTTGGGGGTTGAAAAGATAATGGAGAATGATCGATACTTAGGACTACCAATTATGATCGGTAGATCTCGTACTAGGGAGCTTCGACTTATCAAGGATCGGCTTTGGAGTCGGGTGAATACGTGGAAAGGTAAACTTCTTTCCATTGCTGGCAAGGCAGTCATGATACAGTCGATAGCCCAATCTATACCTTTATATCTGATGAGTTGCTTTCAATTTCCAAAATCTTTCATCCATGAACTGAATATGGTAATTGCGGACTTCTGGTGGGGTGAAAGAAATGGGAGAAAGAAGATCCATTGGCGAAGCTGGACAGATTTATGTGTTTCCAAGATGGATGGGGGACTTGGCTTTCGTGATTATGAAGCTTTCAACCTTTCGCTCTTGGCAAAGCAGTGTTGGCGCTTAGTTCAAAACTCGGATTCGTTATGTTTTAGATTAATGAAAGCTAAGTATTTTCGGGGTTCGAATTTCATGGCAGCTCGTCAAGGTAGGAACCCTTCATTTCTTTGGAGAAGTCTTTTGGCTGGGAGAGCAGTCTTGGCAGAGGGCTGTCGATGGCGAGTAGGTGATGGAGCTAGTATAAGAGTATTTGTTGATAAGTGGATTAATTCACCTCCTAGCTACAAGCCTATGTCTCAGTATGTGGAGGATGAAAATCTGAATATAAGAGTCAGTGACTTAATTGATGTTGATCTAAAAGCTTGGAGGGTTGATGTGCTAGAGCGGTTGTTCAGTGATGAGGATAAATTTCGAATACAGTGTCTTCCTTTGTCTTCTTATCCAAGGTGTGATAGTCTTGTTTGGAACTTGGATCCTATGGGACAATATACTGTAAAATCAGGGTACTTTGTGGCGCGTAAGCTTCTTGGCAGAGAAGAATTTCCAATTCATTCGAGATCGATAATTTGGAAGTCAATTTGGGATGCTCGTATATATCCCAAAGTGAGGTATTTTGCGTGGAGGTTGGTAAATGAGTTTTTGCCGATTACCTCAACTCTACAATATCGTGGGATGGTGGTAGAACCAACTTGTGTTGTGTGTGGAACTCATAATGAGACAATATTTCATCTGTTTTTTCAATGTGCTCTAAGTTAGGAGGTGTGGAATACTTCTTGTCCTCGGATGGCTAATTTTTTGGAGGATGAAATTGAGGAAATGGAATTTTGGTCTAGATTATTTAGTCGAGCAGCTCAATTGGGATCGATAGAAAGAGTGCTTTTCACTTTATGGGCTATTTGGACTAATCGCAACAGATGTTATCATGAGGTTGTGTGTGGTTCTGCTATAGCTCTCACATTGGCTGTGGCTCACCATTTGCAGCAAATGATCCAAGTGTTTCCTGGTGAAAGACGAGGAGGAATTTCAACACAACTTGTGCGATGGATGCCTCCAACTGTTGGGAGTTTTAAACTCAATGTTGACGCAGCATTTGACAAGAATAGAGGAGTTGCTGGTTTAGGGGCAGTTATTCGGGATCATAACGGTGATGTAAGGAGCTATGCTACTAAGCAACTTAGTTTTGTAAGTGATCTTTTTTATGCAGAGATTTATGCAATTAAAATGGGACTACAATTAGCAAAAGAGGAGGGGTTACAAAGGTACTTGGTGGAGAGTGATTGTTTAGTAGGGATTTCAGCTATTAATAGCAGTAGTACTTTATTTTGGGAGGGAGCTTGTTTAATTGATGAGATTAGGAATTTAGCCACATCTTTCGAGAGTATTAGATTTAGACATTTAAATAGAAAGGCTAACTATTGTGCTCATGGTTTAGCAAAGTTTGCTTTTCAAACTTGTACTGACTATGTGCGGTACGGGGAGTTACCCCCCGATGTTTGTAATCCGGATTTACAATTTTAAGTGAATAAAATTACAGTTATTTCTCAAAAAAAAAGATGGATCCTAAATCAGGACAAAACCTTTGCCAAATTGCTCAAATCAGTGCCAAACGTTTAAAACGCAACAAATCAGGATTAAACCTTTTGAAAATGAACCAAATAAGGATACGTTATCACAGATGTTAGAGTTTGAAATATGCGCGCCACTGAAAACGGGTCAACAATTGTATGGGCGACACGTGTCCAACACAATTCCAAATTTGTTGAAAAAAAAGGTTGAAAAAATAATCAAATTTAAAGTAAAAAAAAAACAATTAATTTGTTAGGTAATAATTGGGTAAGGGTTTATAGCCTTATTGCTATCCCTCAGCAGCCTACATCGTCTATCCTTCATCACATTCACAAATTTCTTCTGATCACCCCAAAACATCAAACCAGTTTGACCTCGACTCCACCATAGCCATGGATAAGGGTCCTAATAGAGATGGTAAAAATTGGGTTTCTTCTTTCACCCAAAAAAAAAAAAGCCTATTGTTTGTCTCTTCCTCTGAAAACATTAAAATCAGAATCCAAAGAGAAAATTTTTAGCAGCCAAAAAAATTGAATTTACCAAACCATAAAAAAACCTAATTCCGTTTCAGAAATTTTTTTAGTTTGGGTAAATTGCCCGACCCAGCGGTTCATTCGTACAAGTAAATTTCATAAAAATCCACTTGTTCTCACTTCTGACGGTGGCAGGTAAATTTCACGTCTTTTTCTGGCCCCTTTTTTTTCAAATTCATACAAGTGATCAAATTTGCTAATTTTAATTGGGAATGAGATTTTGTTATTGATATGGGTTCGTTTTGGTGTTATAGTGAAGCTGAGATTTATTTATTTGGAGGTTGCATTGCATTACCTCATGGAAAGTCCCAAGTGGAAGAGACCTTTTTGTGCGGCCTGCCTAATGCTGTATTACCTCTTCATTTGAGTTTGAGATCAATTTGTGTGTTCCGATTCTGGGATTTAGAGACAGGAAAAAATTTGATCAGAGGGTTTGGGGTTGTATAGATCTATGGGTTTTTTACATGATTTTAGAGTGGAGTGAGGAGGAATTCTAGATAATTTGGCAACCTTTGTTGAACTTCAACGGCGGTGGGTTGTGGCTAGTGGTTCATAAGTTGTTCTAATGTTCTTCATGTTCTTATGTTTATGGGATTGAATGCGTTGTTTAATCCATATAAGTTTATTGTAATAAACTTTGTTTAATTGTTTCTTTCTTTCCTTTTTTTTAACTTAATTTATTATTTTTATCGTTTTCTCTATCTTATTATTAGTTAGTTACTTTTCTTCTTTTTTTTTACATCTTTTTCAATTTTCATTTTACAAGCTAATTAAAAACTTTTAATTTAAAAATTATTAACGATATTTTATTTTTGAACCAATCATCATCCGCCACGTCACCTTGATGTTAACTTAACAGAAGATGACGTTAACTTAACAGTGCGTGCCTGTCAATCGCTTTGTTTTGTTAGCACTTGTCCTTATTTGAAATCTTTCTGAAAAGTTTAGTCCTGATTTGTAACGTTTTAAACGTTAAGCCCTGATCCGAGCAATTGGACAAATCCTGATCTGGGCATTTAGCCAAATAAGATCATTCTGTCAAAAAAAATTGGGTCATTGACTCAAATTTATCACAGTAAAAGAAGCAATCAAAATATCAAAGACTAAATAGCCTTTTTACCCCCTGAACTTTGGAAATGTAAGTCAATTTGCCCCTGAACTAATAATTGTACCACATTATCCCCTGAATTTTCAAAATCAAGCCAAATTGCCCCTTACCGTCAACGTCGTTAGTCACGTAACTAACGGTTCCGTCAACCCCCTAATTAACTGCTTACGTGGAATTTTTTTGCTAAGGTGGGTCCTCAATAGGAAAAATCCCACATAAATAAAAAAAAAGCAGAAAAAAAAGAAAATAATATATGTAAAATCGAAAAAGAAAATAAAAGGATTTCCCATAGATCAAAAGAACAAATAAACCATTCAAACTTCATTGAAATAAAACCAACCCAGAATTACAATGAACACAACTGAATTGAATGGGCACCAAACTCAGTATGGTTCAATACTGAATCAAGCAAGAACAATTTTCTTTACTAGAAACTTAATAAAAATAATGGAATAAGTTGAAAATAAAAACCCAACAAGAACAAAATTGCAGCAACTAATTAACACCAGATTCAACCAAGAAAAAAAATTGCAACACAAGAATTTTCAATTCTCAAGTTCAAAATATCAAGAAACTTACATTAAAATTAAACCAAAATGGACCAAAAAATAAAAGAGAAAATAGCTTTACAGACCTTTAAAATCAAGGATGGGCACCTTCATGGGAAATTCAAATTGTCAATTGCAAAAAGTTTTTTTTTTTTTTTTTGCCAGAAAAGTTGCGAACGGGATTAAGAAAACTGCAAATAACATTAGTTTTGAATTGAACCATGCGAAAGAAAGACATTGTCTTTGGAGAAGGATGATCAAAACATATGGTGCACATGGAAGAATGGGAAAATCAACTCTGGGTAATGTTGCATTCAAAATGGAAAACTCAACCGTAACTATAGATGCGAGAGAAATAAAGAGCAAAGATGCAGAAAAAGGGGATAACTTTAATAACTTCAAATAACTGGTAAAAACAATACAGAGGCAAAAATGAAAGAAAAGGAAAATAGCTTCATTCATTCGACAACCCCAAATCATTGGCGGCTCCCATCCTTAAAGGTAAAGACATCCCATGATCCAAAATCCTCTTCTACTTATTTATGCTTGCAACATGTAGCCATGGCAGAGACAAGAAAGTATTTTAGGCCACTGCATAATCAGGGGAACGAGAAAGATTTGAAGCAGCTATATAAGGTCTGAGGTTCCTAACCACGGAATCGAAAACGACGTAGGAGACACCGTACAAGGAGTGACAAAGCATCGGATCTAGTTTAGGTTTCAAATTTGGGGCTTTCAAACGAAGGCTTTCTTTTGAAATTGGTTTGGGGAAATGGAAGCTTATGGGTTTAGGAATAATAGAAGTAAGATTGGTGGCTATTGCCCGGCTACGTCACGATGAGGAGGGAGATCGGAGGAGATGAAGAAGAAAATAGAAAGAAAAGGGAAGAAAAAAAGGAAAAAGAAAAAAGAAAAAAAATAGAACGGTAAAGACTTAGGGTTTTTTTTTAATTTTGATTGGGATTTATGGGCCCCACATATTGCTGATGTGGAAAATCCATATCAGCATTTAACAGGCTCAGACGGTCACGTGACTAACGGCGTTGACGGTAAGAGACAATTTGGCTTAATTTTGAAAATTTAAGGGATAATGTGGCATAATTATTAGTTTAGGAGACAAACTGACTTACATTTCCAAAGTTCAAGGGGTAAAAAAGCTATTTAGTTAAATATCAAAAATCATTTAGTCATTTTAAACTTGAAATTTTCAGTCAGATAGCTATCAAATTACGAAATTGATCGGGAAAACAGAACCCATGAATTTCCATACCTGGAAATGTTTTCAGGTATGGTTGGGTCCCTGCATTCTTGTAAATTTGTAATGTGTAACCTCAAAAAGGGCGAGATTCTTTGTGGGAAGGGAAGAACAAAAACATTATCAGGACCAAGCTAAATTGGAAATTCATTGGAATTTACTGAACAAAACCCTCCAATCTATGGTAAAAATGACAACAGAAGGAAGCCACTTTTCAAATCCGACACAAACCCACCTTTCAATAATGATTGCAAGAAGCCAGCTTGACAGGGTTGATTTGAAATCGTAACAAATTCGTAACCTGGGCAAGAAGAGTAGAGACAACATCAAACTCGAGGACTTGAATGGATTATAATTGTGAATATTTAACCCCCATTGGGCCTATGGAATTAGATGGCAATTGCTTTTTCGGCGCTTCATGTCAAAAAAAAAAAAAAAAAAGGTAGAAATGGAAATTAAAAATGCTTTCATCAAACCCAACATGCTTAGAAATGATCTGCCCTCAATTCTAAACTGGAATTTGTTTGGAAAAAATCAATATGGAATAATCAGAAGAGCACCTATAGAAAAGCAAACTACAATATACACACTAACTTGGACAACGAGAGAAATTTAAGATATAACCAAATTAAGAAAATAAAGTATATGACATGGCTACCGATCAAACACAAAAAGAAGACTCAACTATATACATTCATTGCCATCATATCTTATTGGTATTTTTGGGAGATGCTTCATGTCGATGTCAATTTTATTTCTAAAATATTGATGCGTAAACACATTTCTTTATAATTACCCCAAAAAAAAACATATTTCTTCATAAATGGCTGTCCTTCCAATATAATACATCCACAAAACAAATTTTACAATAAATTATTGCAATTTCTAATACATCATCATCACCTACTAATTACACAAAAATAAAATTACACAAAAATAAATAGGAATGCCCACACTACTATTTTATCCATAAAATCATCTTGGAAACAAAATTCAATTGGCTATAATCTAAACAAACAATGAACTCCATGCTTTTTATTTATTTATTTATTTTATTTACAGAGAAAGGAAAAGAAAAGAGAGAACGTAGGAGTTTTGGGATTCTTAATTTGACATTGGTAAGCCGAAGTTTCAGGTTGCTTCGAATGTGGAAGCCAATGTTTAGGAACCAATTGCAGCATTGGATAAAACGTGCTGCCAGGCCCAAGAGGCCCATGAGTTGTTAGCTAGTAGGTTTTTTTTTTTTTTCTTTTGGGCCGAAACAGCTAGTAGGTTTAGATTGCATGAGTTGCGTAGGTAAATTTTTTTTGGTTTTTGGCCATCACGTTGGGTAATTAATTTGTTTTTGAAAGGCAAAGAAGAATATATTAATGAAAATGGGGTGAAATAAGGATGCCTCGTTAAAACTGGAAAATTCTATTTGACCATCCAAATTGTCCCTCCAACTTACCTTTCTAATAATTAAGAAAACAAATTAAATCCAAGTTTAGCCCCTAATTATAAATATG